TAGTGCTGACTCGTCAGAATTCTCACTGTTATCTTGAAGTTCTGAGTCTGAGCTCTCCTCATCAGACTCTGAATACTGTGTACTGACCATAAAAATGTTCTGGGAGGCCGACATTGAAATTCGCTGCCCTAATGATTTTTTTTTATCTGTACAAAGGAAATTAATAATTAATATTCATTTCATTATCATTAAAAACCAGCATATACCAGTATTTGCAGTCTTCTGACTGTTTACAGTGAAGTTGTTTTGACCCTTGTTAAAAATTCCAAGAATTTCAGGACCTTTTTTTTGAAATAACTGTACTGGAATAGTTTAACATATGTTAAAGTTATATCATAAGAAAGAAAATGCTATATATCTTTACATCCTTTATGGACAGATGTCATGCAAGTAAGAATTTTTGAAAGGATGACCTCAACATGCCTGAAGCTATTAGTAGTAGAGTTAGTTCTAATTGGCTGAATCAATCATTAAAGTCCTCATGTAAATACAATCATTTGGTGTCAAATATAATTGATCAAGATATCAGTGACTTGTAATACCATATTTATCTGTATATTGCATCAGCCAATTCAATGAAGTGAATACAACATGGACCTCAGATGTGCCATCATATAATCAATGGGTGACAGTTTTAATTTGGACTAACATCTGTGGGTATAATGGAAATTCGCTTTATTCTTTTTTAATGGATGCATGACATGGACTATTGAAAATTCATATTACTTGCCAAACAATGATTCTCATTTGCTTTTGTTATTGGGATAAGAATTATCATCCTGAAAATTGTATGTAGTGCTAATACAGGTATTCAGAGTTTGTTTGTTAGAAATTACAGGTAGAACAGCATGTTGTACCAAATATTTGTGTGGTGGATGGTGGACACAGTACAAGTTTAAAGGTCCAATGAAGATAGTCATCTGTATGAAGCAAAATGATTCATGAATCTACAAATTTATATACAACAAAATTATCCTTTCCTTGCAAAACAAATTGAACTTGATTTCTCCCCCCCCCATTCGTTTAAATCATTTTGCATCAGATCTTGATTTACCAGTGGATTTTGCAATGGTGTTCAGGTCTGTCTCATTAAGTTAGGTACACAGTATATTGAAGTAGACAACAGCAGAACTTAAATACATGCATAGACATAAATTGGTCATTTGAATCATGGGATCTTATTGAGCGAAATTGTGGTTTCTTATTTAAAACTTTCCAGTTGAAATGCCTGAAGTCTGTACCTAAATTTAATTATTCCCATGATGACTTCATATATTTGGACATTACATCAGCACTGTCCTGTTTATACAGTACTGAACAAAACTTTTAGTTTGTAAAAATCCCAAATACTTTTGCCAAAATCAAAATAAAGAGAAAACAATCCAACCAATTGTAAATATTCAACATAAGTCAAAAGGTGGTAGTAAAGTTGTTGCAACAAAGAGTAAAATCCATAAAATACAAAATCAGCATTTTTTTAGAATAAACCATAATCATTTACCAAAGTCCAATATCTTCTCAGTTGGAACAATCACAGGATGCATCTCTTTGTAAACAGGTTTACTTACTTAGTTACATCACAACATGCATGAGTGTCTATTTCAGTGGAAAACAACATTCTGGGGTGGGGGAGGGGGGCTTGATGGAGGCATCTTATTTGAAATATTGATATTTAATATTTAATATTTTAAAATGAATAGACCTTGATTTGCTGTTGCATTATGTTCAGGCAGATCAGGGTCTGTGTTGTTATACGTTTACTATATTAGTGACAAACTGCAGACACAGATATACTGGTACATTATGTGATGGCAGATCTGTAATTTGTTGATGTTTACAGTTGGACTCAAATTATAAGCAGGTATATATGGTATACAACAGGGTAACAGAAATATGATTTATCTCACATGTATTATACTATAGGGTAAGAGAAATATGATTTATCTCATATGCATTATACTGTAAGGTAATAGAAATATGATTTATCTCCCATGCAGTATACTATTGGGTGAGAGAAAGTATGATTTATCTCATGCATTATACTATAGGGTAAGAGAAAGTATTAATTATCTCATGCATTATACTATAGGGTAAGAGAAATAAGACTTATCTCATATGCATTATTTTATAGGGTAAAATAAATATGACTAATCTCACATGCATTATATTATAGAGTAGAGAAAGTATGATTTATCTTGCATGCATTATACTACAGCATATGAAAATATGTCTTACATGTGCATTATACTTTAGGACAAGAGAAATATTTATCTCACATGTAATATACAAAAGGTAGAAATATTTATCTCATATGCAAATTTTATAATGATAACTCATGACAGTATATTATTTTTCTCAGACGTGGAAGTGGTTAATGGCACATTAGCACAATTACAGCATACAGTGCATAATAAGTTTAGGCATCCCAAAATTTTGGCATATGCTATTTTTTAAATAAAGTCATATCCAGTGAAAATATGTTGTAATATGTTTTCTATCCAGTGAAAATATGTTATAATGTGTTTCCTATTTGGAAAAAGACGTGATGTCTTTCCTATCCAGTGAAAATATGTTGTTTCAAGCATGTGTGTGTGTGATTTAGATTTTTAATGTAGATTAAACAATTTTTCAGTCATATCACTACGCTGTCTGCAGTGTGAGAGTTTATAGTGATGCCTAGCACTGGTGCATCATGTCGAAGACATGTGGCATGATGCCCCACCCAGTCACATTATTCTAACACCAAGCTGATCAGTCCTAACACTAACCTCTTAATGCTGAGCGCCAAGCAAGGCAGCTGTTAGTACCAATTATTAAAGTCTTTGGTATGTCTTTGTCGGTGTTTGAACCCGCGACTTCCTGCATTTGAGGCAGATGCTCTGACCATTAGGCAACCAGAGCAGTTTGTTTTGTTTCCTTTCTAGCATAAAATATGTTGTGATTTATTTTCTATCTACCAAAAAATATATTGTGACATGTTCCCTTTCTAGTAAAAAATATGTTGTGATGTGTTTCCTATACAGTGAAAATATGATGCATATTTCTCATCCAGAATTTGTTTTTTTCATATGCAGTAAGTAGTATGTTGTGATGTGTTTTTAGTGAAAAATATGTTGTTACCTTTTACATTTAATATTTTTCCACTTAACCCTGTTGCTGGAGGTTTTTTCGATAAAATAAAAGTACTTACCTTTCCAGTTGGGTATGAATGCTCTTCTTTCTTTCACTAATGCAAAAGCTCTCTACTCTGTTAAATGCTTATCTCAGTCTGGTTTAGCAAAATCTGCTTTGGTATGGTTAACATATACATTACATACTTCCCAGGGCTACACAGAGTCCATGTATTGGTAGCCCAAGGCTACTATATGTCCATGTATACAAGGAAGTATACACTATCCCATGGGTAACCATCTTTACTTCCTGCAACTTTTATTGACTTGTAGGTCTTATAGACACTTTTTGTATCTTCTTCATTTTCCTTGTTTTTTTTATTAAAGTCAGCTAATAATTATTCATGTATTGTAAGTCAAATATATAAAATATCTACAAAATTACTCTTCAGTTTTTTTAAATGAAAATCAGCTGGGAAGAAAAGGAAAGATTATTTTGATATTCTGTAGTTTTTGAGAAATAGTGACATATTAACTACTACATTTGGTACAGATTTGCTTATAAATAGCTGAGGTTCATTGGAGTGCAACTGTTTAAATAAAATCTGTGTGATTTTATGAGGAAAACAAGGCAAACTATCTTAAGATGAAAATGATTTTGTGCGTGATACAGAATTTATTCATATTTCCATAGGTTGTGATTACCATTCAGAAGATAGTGCTGTTTTCATGAACTATTAACTGCATTTTATCATAAAGCAGGCACATGTGTATAGATTGGAAACTTTATGATTAAATTCTTACTCTCAATATTGGCAATAAGTCATTCAATAAGGATTTAAGGCAACTGGAACTTTCTCTTTTTAGTATCATAACTAGTTGCTGAAAATTGGAATTCATGCAAACTAATGTTTTATAACTTGCTGAATGTGTGTTTTAAATAGATTGTAGTGGACCAGTTATTGGAAAAATTTATCAAGAAACTTGGTCAGAAACCAAAAAATATATAAAAAAAATTTTGTTTTATATGTAATAACAAGCAGAACTGGTAAGAAATTATATAACTGTAATTAAGCATGAAACGATCACAGACATATAGCATTGAGGGACCTAAAGAATTGCGGAAAGGAAAGTATTTGGATATGAATGAGGAAGACATTCAGTTGCGTAGGTTTTCTCTCCCAGTTAATTTACCTACAACTCCACAGGTATCAAAAGGTAAGTGGAATCAGAACAGAAATAAATTGTGGTTAATTTAGTAACAGTAAATTCCCACTACAGAGTTTTGTTTTGTTTTTTTACAATAAACTGGAGTCATCATGGCAAGTATCATGTCACTTCAATACTGTACCTGGGTCTGGTTTGTAATTATGTTGGTTGGATTTAAAAGTATATATCTGCTTATTATTATTAATGCCAGTATATGTACATTAAAAATGTTGTGCAGCAGCATGTAGACCCTTATTTTTTGTTATATGATTAATACTGGATGGGAAATTTGCAGAATGGTTTTAGAATTTTGATCCATTCCTCTGGAATGGTACAAAAGTGGATGGGGAAGAGCACCTGAGATTAAAACTTTTGATAATTAATGAAAACTCTACAGAATGACAATAGACTATGTACCCTTGCTGGGATTAAAATGACAATAGACTATGTACCCTTGCTGGGATAATAATGACAATAGACTATGTACCCTTGCTGGGATTAAAATGACAATAGACTATGTACCCTTGCTGGGATTAAAATGACAATAGACTATGTACCCTTGCTGGAATAATAAGTAAAATAGACTATGTACCCTTGCTGGGATTAAAATGACAATAGACTATATACCCTTGCTGGGATTAAAATGACAATGGACTGTGTACCCTTGCTGGGATTAAAATGACAATAGAATATGTACCCTTGCTGGGATAATAATGACAATAGACTATGTACCCTTGCTAGGATTAAAATGACAATAGACTATATACCCTTGTTGGGATTAAAATGACAATAGAATATGTACCCTTGCTGGGATTAAAATGACAATAGACTATGTACCCTTGCTGGGATTAAAATGACAATAGACTATGTACCCTTGCTGGGATAATAATGACAATAGACTATGTACCCTTGCTGGGATTAAAATGACAATAGACTATATACCCTTGCTGGGATTAAAATGACAATAGACTATGTACCCTTGCTGGGATAATAATGACAATAGACTATGTACCCTTGCTGGGATTAAAATGACAATAGACTATGTACCCTTGCTGGGATTAAAATGACAATAGACTATGTACCCTTGCTGGGATAATAATGACAAATAGACTATGTACCCTTGCTGTGATTAAAATGACAATAGAATATGTACCCTTGTTGGGATTAAAATGACAATAGACTATGTACACTTGCTGGGATTAAAATGACAATAGACTATGTACCCTTGCTGGGATAATAATGACAATAGACTATGTACCCTTGCTGGGATTAAAATGACAATGGACTATGTGCCCTTGCTGGGATCAAAATGACAATAGACTATGTACCTTTGTTGGGATTAAAATGACAATAGACTATGTACCCTTGCTGGGATTAAAATGACAATAGACTATGTACCCTTGCTGGGATAATAATGACAATAGACTATGTACCCTTGCTGGGATTAAAATGACAATGGACTATGTGCCCTTGCTGGGATCAAAATGACAATAGACTATGTACCTTTGTTGGGATCAAAATGACAATAGACTATGTACTTTTGTTGGGATTAAAATGACAATAGACTATGTACCCTTGCTGGGATTAAAATGACAATAGACTATGTACCCTTGCTGGGATAATAATGACAATAGACTATGTACTCTTGCTGGGATTAAAATGACAATGGACTGTGTACCCTTGCTGGGATTAAAATGACAATAGACTATGTACCCTTGCTGGGATTAAAATGACAATAGACTATGTACCCTTGCTGGGATTAAAATGACAATAGACTATGTACCCTTGCTGGGATTAAAATGACAATAGACTATGTACCCTTGCTGGGATAATAATGACAATAGACTATGTACCCTTGCTGTGATTAAAATGACAATAGAATATGTACCCTTGTTGGGATTAAAATGACAATAGACTATGTACACTTGCTGGGATTAAAATGACAATAGACTATGTACCCTTGCTGGGATAATAATGACAATAGACTATGTACCCTTGCTGTGATTAAAATGACAATAGAATATGTACCCTTGTTGGGATTAAAATGACAATAGACTATGTACACTTGCTGGGATTAAAATGACAATAGACTATGTACCCTTGCTGGGATAATAATGACAATAGACTATGTACCCTTGCTGGGATTAAAATGACAATGGACTATGTACCTTTGTTGGGATCAAAATGACAATAGACTATGTACCTTTGTTGGGATTAAAATGACAATAGACTATGTACCCTTGCTGGGATTAAAATGACAATAGACTATGTACCCTTGCTGGGATAATAATGACAATAGACTATGTACCCTTGCTGGGATTAAAATGACAATGGACTGTGTACCCTTGCTGGGATTAAAATGACAATAGACTATGTACCCTTGCTGGGATTAAAATGACAATAGAATATGTACCCTTGCTGGGATCAAAATGACAATAGACTATGTACCCTTGCTGGGATTAAAATGACAATGGACTGTGTACCCTTGCTGGGATTAAAATGACAATGGACTGTGTACCCTTGCTGGGATTAAAATGACAATAGACTATGTACCCTTGCTGGGATTAAAATGACAATAGACTATGTACCCTTGCTGGGATTAAAATGACAATAGAATATGTACCCTTGCTGGGATAATAATGACAATAGACTGCCTTGCTGGGATTAAAATGACAATAGACTATGTACCCTTGCTGGGATTAAAATGACAATAGACTATGTACCCTTGCTGGGATAATAATGACAATAGACTATGTACCCTTGCTGGGATTAAAATGACAATGGACTGTGTACCCTTGCTGGGATTAAAATGACAATAGACTATGTACCCTTGCTGGGATTAAAATGACAATAGAATATGTACCCTTGCTGGGATCAAAATGACAATAGACTATGTACCCTTGCTGGGATTAAAATGACAATGGACTTTGTACCCTTGCTGGGATTAAAATGACAATGGACTGTGTACCCTTGCTGGGATTAAAATGACAATAGACTATGTACCCTTGCTGGGATTAAAATGACAATAGACTATGTACCCTTGCTGGGATTAAAATGACAATAGAATATGTACCCTTGCTGGGATAATAATGACAATAGACTGCCTTGCTGGGATTAAAATGACAATAGACTATGTACCCTTGCTGGGATTAAAATGACAATAGAATATGTACAATAGACTACCTACGACAATAGAATCCCATGGCTAAAACTATGAACTGATATTTGCAGCTCACAAACATTCCAGGAGATCTATATCTATTTTACACATAGTTGATTTACCTCTTTACACACTAAAATTGTATCAACTTTCTATTGGTAGTATGCAAATATATTATGCATATTTTGTTGTGAAGAATAAAGCTAGAGAAACTATTAACAGCTGATTGAGTTTATTGTATTTTATGTATTGAATGCTGTTATTCATAATTATTCTGAATTTATATTTTGTATGTATAGCTTTTCAGTTAAAAAGATGCTACCACAATACTAATGGTACAGTGTGACCCTGCTACATCATGCTCCTTTTTAACATGAATTTGGATATAACATGGGCGTGGTATGGCTTCCGAAATCTCATAT